AATAATAATAATAATTACTAAAATAAGCACAAGAGATCACATATTGCATGAGCCAATCAGTATGCAATGTTCAGGGACACTCACAGACTGAGCCACCTACAGACCCACTGAAGCTGGTCTAATGTGTAAGAGGCAGCAGTGGGAGGGGGCCCCTTCAGTGGTTGAAAGATTGTCCAACCCAAGAAGGCCTAGATATGCCCAGGAGGTGCCCTGCTGCAGGCTCCTGGCTGGTAGTCAGGAAAGGCCAAACCCAGCCCCACTCCTGGGTTTCCATGCCCACAGACCTGCGCAATGGAAAGAGCCACCTCTGCTCAAGAAGGTATGAGGCAAGGACCTTGCTGCCCCCAGAGCAGGGAGGAGAGGTGGCTTCCTGCAAAAGGGGCAGGGAAGACCAGGAGTCTTGTGTGTTTTGTTGCTCTTTTGGTCTTAGTTTATTTCTTTTTGACAAGGGCCTGCATTTAACTACACCCCCTTTAAGATAATCCTTAGATGGGTCGAAAGAATTTTCTTTCAGCAGGCAAACATCCCTCAAATGTCCATTGTCCCAAATTCCTCAGGGAGGAGCTATCACTGGGGATGTAAGAAGCTCAGGTGAAGGGACTAGAGGGCCCAACAGTCCCAGATGAAGCTCCCTAGAAGGAAGGCTGGCTGCCGGCTGACCACAGAGAGCCACTGAACACCGAGCGCTCTTCCCTGCTGCCCTGAGCACCTCCTGCCTAAGATCCCTGCTGCCTCCAGTCGGGGCGCCCCCTATCACCTGCTCTCCAGCCCTGCTCCACACCAGCCCGCCCCGGGATTCAGAGCCAAGCACCCACCTACACCAAAGTTCCAGCGAGCCACGTTCCGAAATTCAAGAGCGCACCAGGTCACCGAAGGGTGTGTGCGCACCCAGGAGGTCCCATTGGCTGCCAGCTCTGAAAGGCTGCTTAATCATTACTGGAACAAGTTCCTCTGATCCTAACCTTGAGGCAAATGAGCTCAGGGTGAATCCCTGCGAAACAGGAGTCTAGCCCTGGGCGACAACAGGGGACTGCAAGACCACCCGAGGGCACTCCGGGAATCAGTGTCGCCAAAGACCCGGCGCGGGATGGAAGCTCTCAGGGTACTAAGCGTCCTGACCCAGCTCAGCCTGCAAACTCCGCCTGCGCTTGGCTTGCGGTGCCCGCTGCTCAGGACCCTCCTAAGCGCGCTCACCTCCGATCCAGCCGGCCACAAAGTCTTCCAGCTGGAAGCTGCTCATGGCTGGGGCCGCGGGGCCTCGCCTTCCGTCCGGGGAGGTGGTCTCTCAGGGTCTGCAGAGCATTGCCCACCAGTCCCGGCGCGCTGAGGAAAGTGGGGGTCTCGTCGCACAGGGCTAATCCTAGTCTAAACCCAGAGTCAGCCTGTGGCTCTCACCTCTGCAAGTGCCCACAGCCTCTGACTTCATGCCCCTAGCGGACTTTAAAGGAGCGACACTCAGGCAGGAGGAGGGTGCATGGGCGCTGCGGGTCCCTGTCCAAAGAGGAAAGGGCCATCCCTGTAGTTCCCTCATGCGTGTCGGAAAGAATGCCGCTCAGGAGTGAACAGCAAACCAGATCCAAAGGAGTGCTAGCTCTTGATGATGCCCATGATATTTCCTTTGCGTGGAAATCATACCTCGTGCCTGGTTCACAAGTTTACTCCTCATAATAACTATACAGTCGGTAGTATAACCTCACATCACAGAGGAGGAAAGTTGTTGTATATCTAATGTATATAAAATTTGTGTATTTCATACATCGATTTAAATCTTTTAGAAAACTGGCTCAATTTAGGTGAAAGTTGCCACACCCGAGCTAAAGACTGAGCTGGCTGAAAACAGATTTGAAGCTATGCCCAAAGACCTGGAGCTTACAAAGAAGGGCCCAGGGGTGAAGTACAGGGGGCAAAAGCCACAGAGAACCCCGCACCACCCCACACAGTTCCATCTGCTGCATGGAAGCAGACTCCAAACCTGTGCTCTCAGCTGAGCTAAAACCTTTCTTAATCCATCCCAATGCATGTCCCATACCTGCATGCTCTAGTTAAGCATACAGCCACAGTCTGGAGCATGTTGATATAAAATAATAAATTCTGCCTTAAAGGACACAATAAAGTAGTTTATTCTGGGCTGAATATGAATGCACATGGCCTGGGAAACCCAATTTTGGTTACATTGAATGACATGTGCCCCTGTGGAAGAGGTTGCACAGGTTTTACAGTCACAGAACAAAAGGAAGTCATATCAAGAGATTTACCAGTTACAGCAGTGGGGCCATCAGGTCGGCAGGCAGTATGATTCTCTCTAAAATGCCCCCTATGTTCCAATGGAAGGTGATTGGCTCATGGGGTGCTGCTGCTGACTTCCACAGTTGTCTAGCAGGTGGAACCTAGTTGGTGATGGGTCACCCAGGGGTGGACTAGAAAGGTGCCTCTTCCTCCCTAGGCTGTCTACTGCTTGGCCACCATGATGTGAGCAGCTTTCCTTTACCAGATTCTTCCACTGTGCTCTTTCTGCCCTGGAGCAGGGTGGCGATGGACTGAGTCTCTCAAAACCATGAGCCACAAGTAAACCTCTCCTCCTTTAAGGTGTGGGTGTTGGGTATTTTGTCTCAGCAGTGAGCAAAGTGGCCAAGACAGTAAGCAACAAGGCAGGAAGAACTCCTACAGATTTAGATGCTGTCTTGTAGTACTCTGTGGAGGCTAGAGATGTGGCAACTTAGCGCTCTGTCCCAAGAGTTGTATACAGTAGTTACAAGGATGAGTGAGTTAGGTAGGTGCTGAAATTGATCAAAAATGACTATTGAAAGTGATTAAAAACAGCCCAAGATGACTTTGGTTTTTGATATATAACATTCCCTCTCTCTGTAATCACGATATTCTAGGTTGTCTGCAGGTTCTTCAGTATAGAGTAGTTTCTACAGGGAACTTCAGTTCATGAACCTTCCCCTGGGAATATTTATAAGCCCAAATCTGTGCCAAGGGCTCTGCACCCATGGTGCCCAGTCTACCTGTGAGCAGGCACCACTGGCCAGTTTTACATCTTCACTAGGCAGGGCTATGGGTTGAGGTAATTCAATCAAATACAAATTGAGGTGTGACTTTGACAGTATTTTGTAAATGTGACTTACATCTGTAATCAACTAAGTCAAGAAAAGGAGATTATCCTTGATCTTCCCAGGGAGCTTCATCTAGTCTGTTGGAATCCCTAGAGGAGAAAACACTGCATCAACGGACTGCAGCTCCAGCTGCCACCTGAGTGTTCAGCCTCCTGTCTTGCCTTCCAGGTTCCAACTCGGTCCCATTGTACAGTTGCACACAAGCTCCTGCATCCAGCTGAATCTGTTTCCCTGGTAGAACCCTAATACTCCCTGTTACCCTAAAGTAAAGTGAGGCCCAAGGAGGTTGAAAATGATCCTATCACATTGAAGAGTATCACCCCAGAGCCACAAGGTGGTGCAGTAATTCTGGGACAACCTAGAGATGGCTCTTTTCTTTTCTGATGCCCCCTTGCCCACCCATACTTGCCATTCAGGCACCCATGCTGAGATAGCACCTGTGGGCTGATCTTGTGTCCCTGTGCTGTACCAACAGTGTAATTCCAGCTGTGGTTCCCTCTTCCTCAACCCAAACTCAGCCCCAACCCAAGCCATGATATCTTTTTGCCCATCCTAGCCATGCTCCACTCAGTGCCCTGTGCCCATAGCACCTGGTGGTTCAGGTTTGTGTGTTTCAGGCACAGTTCTCTGTTGTAACTCAAAAATCAGATGACAATGAGGCAAGTCCAACAATTAAAAGAAGCGCTTTATTTTAGCTGGTACCCAGCTGCAGTCTCTATGCAAGGTGCAAAGAGGCGCGCCGAGCATTGACAAGGTGCAGTATTTAAGCTTGAAAACCGCAGGAATAGGGGAGGGGTGGAGAGGAAGAAGTAGCAGGGTCATTAGTCCATGGGGTGGTCCTGTTGGGTGAAGGTGCTGGGTTGGCAGTCATACAGAGTTCATTGAGATAAAGTTTGGGGAACAGATATCATAAGACTTGAGTCATAGGGGTGAGGAATTGGGAGGATTTTGAGTTGGCAGTCAAGGGGTGAGGAATTGGGAGGGATTTGAGTTGGCAGTCAAGGGGTGAGGAAATGGGAGGGATTTGAGTTGGCAGTCAAGGGGTGAGGAATTGGGAGGAATTGGGAGGAATTTGAGTTGGCAGTCAAGGGATGAGGAATTGGGAGGGGCCGGCACATACAGAACAGGAACTCGGGGATGTTAGAAGGGCAACAAAATGGAGTCAATTTTGACAGGGTACAACATTCTCTAGGGATCCAGGTCCCTGCCAGGCACTGGTTGAGCCTACAATGCCCACCCCAGGCCAGCAAGAAGGGAGAGGAATGGTCCTTTTTCCTTCAGACTTTCTCTATAGGTAGATGGCACACTTGGCCAAATCCACAGCAGATACCCATGCTCACAGGGGGACTTGCACTTGCCTATTTGGGTGTTTTGTTCCAATGAGAACATTGACTTCTTCTCCCTTTAAAGAAAGTGATTCTGTGTCCTTAGGCATACTGCTCATTTCTGCCAGGGACTCTGTCCAGAGTCTCAGTCAAGATACCCCAAGGTTTACACGAATGTTGAGGAGTACAGTCTGGAGGAAGAGGGTTGTTCCCACACACCCAGATCACTTCTTCCAGGTCAGCATGAGACAGAAGCTGGCCAGGCCTACTTTTCCCAAAACAAGATGAAGTCTGCTTGCTGACACTTGATCCTGAAAGGGCCAGCTGAGGAGTAGGGGCTTGGAGATAGACGGGGCCTTGCAGTCCTGCTGCCTCCTCTCTGGTGCACAGATAGTGGACCTGTGTCCAGGCATGAGATTCAGAAGCAGCCCTCAGAGGGAAGAGCCTCAGGTGGCGCACAGAGCTGGCTGGGAGCAACTGGCCAAGCCCTGCGCGGGGGTGGAAGTCCCGCCCTAGCCCTGAGCTCTGCCCTCGCAGGACATGGTGACCCACGTAGTCTTGAGGCAGCGATGCCGCCAGCATGGACCCCCAAGCTATGCGCTGCCTAAGCTCTTCGAAGAGTGGTCCGTTGGCCCGGTGGAGAGCTGCCCAGCTCCCACGGCCACTTTTGCAGGACCACCTACATGGCTTTTTGTCTTTTGTTTAGCTATTTATATATTTATTTTTATATTTTATGTTTTAAAAAGAATAAAAACATAGTAGAAAAGACACTAGAAATGACACAGAATTTTACTAAACAAAATAATAGGAATTCAACAATTGTTGTTATAGTGCATATTGTTGTCTTCAAATTAGTTGTTCAGATTGCCAGATAAATGCATGTAAAATTAGGGAAAAAAGAACAGAAATATATAAGGAATTAAGAAGAGAAAAAGGAGAAACTGTTGAAAGACAGATT